CATGAACACCTGAGTTTTGGGGACCTTAGGAAAGACTTTCTGGGCTCCCAGCATCCTTGCCTGACAGGGGCAGGCCAGGTGACCCTGCTGGGCTTCCCACTTGTGGCTCTATCTGCACAGACTGCTTATGTGTGTGTGTGTGTGTAAGTTTAAAAATTAAAAAAAAATCAACAGTACTTTAGTTATAAAGGAGAAGTCCTCAGATCAAGCCTTTGGACAGTCCAAAATTTAGGTTTTGAAGAAATAGAGAAAACGTAAAATTTGATGACAGGAGGAAAATCATACAAATGAAGAAAGTACTTAGGAGATAGAGAGTGATCTTGTCAAATTTGGATGTATCTGAGTGTTGAAAATATGAAGGGAAATTGAGCAAGATGAGGCCACTGATCATCTTTACATGATTATTTGTGTTGGAGTGATAGGGACAAACATAAACAGATAGAAAGAGGAAAAAATTGAAAAGAACATGTATGGACAACACTTCTGAGGAGCTTAACCAAAAAGAGAAAGAAAGAAATGAGTGAAATAGGATAAATATAAATCTTATTTTTGTTTCTAAACAGAAAGCAATAATACGACCATATGTTGATAAAGAATGATCCAGAAGAGAGAGGAAAGAATTAAAATGTAGTAGAAAGGGAATAGAATTTGTGGATCAGTGTTCTTGAGTAGATAAGAGGTCAAGTGTATGGTGACCACACAGAAGTTTAGATATTTGAGAAATGCAGGTGTTTATAACTATGGCTAAGATGCCATCAGGGATACCTACATATCATATTAAAGGAACTGGAGTCCAGTGCTGGCAAAACTTCTGGTGCTGGCTTCCTGCTGGTGTGTATCCTAGGAGGCAGCAGGTGATAGCTCAAGTACTTAGGCCCTACTACCCAAGTGTGAGACCCAGATGGAGTTCCATGTTCCTGGCTTCAGCTTGACCCATCTTGCCTGTTGTAGGCACTGGGAAGTGAACTAGTGGATGGAGTTATGTCTGTCTTTATCTTTACCTTTCTGTGTCTCTGCCTTTCAAATACGTAAAAATAAATTTTAAAAAATTCCAAAAAAGAAAAAATGGTCTATTCAACCACAATAAAAAAAGAGGAGACAGAGGTAGAGAGATGGGTAGACATGATTACAGAAAATTGTGGAAGTTCTCTTATTACTTCAATCTTCTCAGGGAGGTAGGAAGCAAAGTAAAAGGCCCGAGCAGACAGAAGTGAGTGGAGTTGAAGGAGAGAGAACATATGAAACAATAATTAAGAAAACTAAATGAATAAATGAGGATCAAAGTAGAATTCAGAATTTAATGAAAGGGAAAATTATCACATTTTAAAGTTGGATGAAGAGGGATTTGGGCTATGATGGAGATAAGAAACCATGGAAAAGTGATGGAATCAATGGATTAAAATTCCTCTGGGGTTACTATATTGGTTTTTTTTTTACATTAAAAAGAAAGAAGGCATTGGTTGGGAAGTAAGAATTGAAACAAAATAAGGAGAGGTTTTGTTACTGGTGATGACAAGAAAAAGAATATGATCACAGCACTGAGAAGCTGAAGAGTCACTTAGCAAGAGAAAATAAATATCCTGGATCTCTGGCCAATTATCTATAGCACATAGTTTCTCCTATCAAAAAACTTATATCTGATTATTGAAGATTTCACTGGGGAGATAACTGCCTTAAACAACATATATGACATAATCAAATTTATGAGGAGAAAAGGGGAAGAGAGAGAATCTAAGTAGCACATTAACTTACAGTCTTTATCAGGCATTACATATTTGGATTTTAGTATTGGGTCTCTTATTTTTCTTTTTTTTTTTTTTTTTTTTGACAGGCAGAGTGGACAGTGAGAGAGAGAGACAGAGAGAAACGTCTTCCTTTGCCGTTGGTTCACCCTCCAATGGCCGGCGTGGCCGGCGCGCTGCGGCCGGCGCACCACGCTGATCCGATGGCAGGAGCCAGGAGCCAGGTGCTTTTCCTGGTCTCCCATGGGGTGCAGGGCCCAAGCACTTGGGCCATCCTCCACTGCACTCCCAGGCCATAGCAGAGAGCTGGCCTGGAAGAGGGGCAACCGGGACAGAATCCGGCGCCCCGACCGGGACTAGAACCCGGTGTGCCGGCACCGCTAGGTGGAGGATTAGCCTAGTGAGCCGCGGCGCCGGCCTTTATTTTTCTTTTTAATGTAACTAAAATAATCCTGTGGCTCTCTTTCTATTTGATCACACATAACATGTTCAGAAACTTTGTATTTAGGACTTCTAGTGAAAAGATTATTCTAATTTTTGCCTCTACCAAGTACAAAGAACCAAAAAACAATGCTATTATTTTTAAATATTAATCTAATTGAGTCCAAATTATTAGATTTATCTATGATATTCAGAAAAACATTTCAGCAATATATTTTTATTTACATTTATTATAAAGATACATAGAATCTTAGTGAGATAATTTTTTTAACATTAATAATATACTAGTTGGGGCCAGTGTTGTGGTGTAGTAGGTTAAGCTACTATTTATAATGTCATTATATAGCATCCCAAATGAGAGAGCTGCTTCACGACCTGGCTGCTCTGCTTCTGATCCAGCTTCCTGCTAATGTGTCTGGGAAAGCAGTGGATGATGGGTCAAGTACTTGGGCACCTGCTACCCACATGGAAGTTATGGATGTAATTCCATCCTCCTGGCTTTGGTACTGTCTAGCTCTGGCTGTTGCAGTTATTTCAGGATTGAACAAGCAGATGAAAAATCTGTGTTTGAGTGTATGTGCATGTGTATGTGTGTGTGTCACTCAGTCTTTCAAATAATTAAATAAATGAATCTTTAAAAAAATACTCAACAACATATACAACATATTAAGAAATAGTTATACATTTAATCTACACCATGGAAGGAATCCACTGGCCTCTTGGTATTAGCATATTTAAAATTTCTTTGAAATCAAGCAATTCAAAGCATTAGCAACAGATGTATAATTTCTGATTCCATTTACATGACCTTAAATTAGACTTATTTTGAAAATTTTATACTTGAGTATTAATATTGAAGGCTTATTTTCACATCTAAAAATGAGAACAACATTTGGAAGAGTTGTTTTTGGACATTAATACTTCGAGGAATGCTAACTATCAAATTGTTCTTCAATCAACAGTAGCAGCAGTAATGAAATAAAATAAAAAAGGAGTTGATAAGAAATGAATCTGATTCTATTATCTCCTAGGAAAGTAGATTTTAATTAAGAGCAATCTTACTGGACTCAACCAACTGTAGCAACAGTAAGGAAAAAATATATTAAAATAAAGTTGATAAATTAATCTGGTTCTCCTATCTTCCGGGGAAATGGATTTTAATTAAGAGAAATTTTACTGGGCTCAAATAATATGTTTTCTTTTATATAATTCTCCTTGAAAAAAAATAGAATAAAATTTTTTCTTTCAGTGAGATAGTGGCAATATATGTGCTAGTGAGGCAAAAGTTTAAAAGAGCCAATTGCTGTCTCTTTAAATGTGAAAATATTCTTAAAAACTGTAATTTATGATGTTCTCAAAAAAGAGAATAACAGTTATTCCAAGACATGTAATAAATACAACCTAATTACTTTATGATAATATAAATTTTGTTTACATAAATCAAGTTTCAAGATTTAAGAACTAGAAAACAATAATTCAATTATCATATGATATTATCTGATAAAAATTACAGAAAACAATTACTTTGACTTGCTATAATTTTACTGACAGAGAAAACAGAAATTTCCAGAATATTACTAAAATGACTAATTTATTTAGCTTCGTATTACAGAGTTTGCAATACTTTTCACAGATTACTAAGAACACTAAAAAACCAAGTAGATACATCGTAGTATAAAATCATTCAAAATGCCTCTACAGAATTCACTATTGGCCTATTTTATTTTGGGGGATTTTATGGCTATAACTGGTTTTAATTTTTGCCCTTTGCTATAATTTAAAATGTGATGCTATTAAAATATTTTCAGATAAGCTATTTTCCAGATAAGCGTGAATGGATAATTAATTCTATGATACCTACTCTAGGCCCCAGTTCTCCAAAGGGTCCCATTGGTCCTTCTTCTCCCTTGAAAAAAACAAAAAAGATCAGAACATATCATGGTCTAAAGTATTTAAAAATGCAAAATCTTATCTGCTTTATGTATTATTAAATCTAAAGCTTATAGTGAGATGTGAAAGTGCCTATTTTCTTGTAATTTAGAAGTGTATCATCCCATAATATTTAAATTTTTAATGTGATGACCCCACAATAACACTAAGAGAGACATGTGTTATTGGATTATTTTTAAATTAGTAGAACACACTGTGTCAGAGACACATCTACCACCATGTTTATATAAGCACTATTCACAATAGCCAAAGATTAAACCAAGGTGTCCATATAAGATGAATGGAGAAAGAAAATGTGGTATGTACATATACAATGGAATACTATTCAATTGTAAAAAAAGACTGAAATTTTATCATTTGCATCAAAATGGTTTAAACTATATAACATCATGTTGAACAAAATAAGCAGGACATAGAAAGACAAATACTGCATGTTCTCCCTTATAAATAGAAGCTCAAATAAAATAGAAAAACAGAAAAAGAAATGACTGTATCAGTAGTGCTGCAAATATAGTTTTGTCAAACTGTTTTATATCTTTTTTCAAATTGTTAAGAATGATATACTACTTTAGTTTTCATGATTTGTGATTATTTCAAAATTTACTATATGTGCGTGAAACTGCCATCTACCAGCGCCGCGGCTCAATAGGCTAATCCTCCGCCTGCGGCGCCGGCACACCGGGTTCTATTCCTGCTCAGGGCACCAGATTCTGTCCCAGTTGGCCCTCTTCCAGTCCAGCTATCTGCTGTGGCCCAGGAGGGCAGTGGAGGATGGCCCAAATCCTTGGGCCCTGCACCCACGTGGGAGACCAGGAGAAGCACCTGGCTCCTGGCTTTGGATCAGCGCGGTGCGCCTGCAGCAGCGTGCCAGCCACAGCGGCCACTGGAGGGTGAACTAACAGTAAAGGATGGCCTTTCTCTCTCTCTCTCTCTCACTGTCCACTCTGCCTGTCAAAAAAAAAAAAAAAAATGGAAAGAAAAGAAACTGCCATCTTTTCATTTGAATATTGTTCATAGTCCTTGCTTTTTTCCTACTGAACTATGCATGGTTTTTTTTTACATTTTTTACTTGTTGAACTTCTCACATAATGGATCATTAAGCCTTCAACTAAATGTACATTAAAAATATCTCAAACAAAAAAAAGACAAAAACAAAGTCAACTAACTTTGTAAAAAATAAATTAGCAGACATTACACCTCATATACAGAAAGCTGGGAGTTGAGAAAAGTGAAAGTGATCAGGATGTAACAAAACCAGGATGAAGAATCTCTGATTCATTCATTAAGGATATTCCTTTACATTTTTGGTTTACTATCTCTCGACACAGAAAGGAATTCAACTAAGACCTTATCAGATGGAAATCAATACACACTGGTTTATTTAAAAAACACTTACACAGAATATGTTTGTTGTAGAACATTTACATACTTTATTCATCAACAAATGATTTAGAGTCTTAGCTCTGCCTGAAGCTCTAGCAATAAAAAGACATTAGGTTTTTCCCAATTTGTGGTACAGCAGGTAAAGCAGCCACCTGCAAAGTCAGAATCCCATAAAGGTGCCAGGTTATGTCCTGGATGCTGGGCTTCCCATCTAGCTCCTCATTAATGGCCTGGGAAAAGCAGTAGAAGATGGTTCAGTGGTTTGAGTCCCTGCTGCCCACGAGGGAGACCTGGATGAAGCTCCTGGATCCTGGCTTTCTGGCCCAGTTCTGGCCATTGTAGCGATCTGGGGACTGAACCAGCAGGTGGAAGATGCCCTCTCCACTATGTGCCTCTCACTCTTTGTCATTCTTATTTTCAAAATAAAAAAAATCTTTATAAAAAGTTTTTATTTATTTATATTATATTTGTTTGAGAGAGAGAGTGTTTATACCTGGTGGTTCTCTTCTTAAATGTCCACAATGGCTGTATTGAGAGTGGCTGAAGCCAGAAGCTGGAAACTAGATACAGTTTTCTCACATGAATGGCAGAGACTCAAGTACATGAGCCATCACCTGCTGCCTCCCAGGGTGCTCATTGGAAGGAAATCAGAAAGGGAAGTAGAGCCAGGAATTAAAACCAGGCACTCCAATATAGGATGTGGGTATCACAAGTACTGTCTTAACTGTTGCATCAAATATCTGCCCCTAAAGTTTATTCTTAGCTAATTCATAGGTCCATATTCTTGGGGTCAAATCAGATGTAATATCATAAATTTAATTTGGTAGATTCTTATGAAGTTAAAAAACAATATGGGGTGGATAGAGATTGAAGATAAATAATGAAAAATAAAGAGCATTTGCCCGTTATTTTCTAATACAGTAAAATAATAGTAAAGGTTTGTACCCCATTTGTAGAAATTTTTACTAAATATACTGATTTTTTCACTTTTAAATAAATAGTTTATGTTATTACCCAACAATAAATACAAACCTCTCTAGAACCATATATCTTAAGCATTTTGCTCAATTCATAATTTGATCAAAATATGATTTATTGGGTCACAAATATAAAATAGTCACAAATAATAAAAATAAGCTCTGGTACATATGTGTGAGATTCCAGGTTCAGGTTCTTCAAACATTCCATTGAAGCCCACTGACATCAATCATTTAAGGAATTCAGGGAGCTGTAAAATGATTTCAAATTCTATTCCATAACTGCCATGTAAAATGGTAACTTAAAAATCCATTATGGCAAAAATGTTCCATACTAAGGCAATGTTTTCTTTAAGCCAAAAAGAAAGTCACAAAAATAAGAGGTGGAAATTTGCAGTAAAATAACTGCTGATGGTGTAATCATTTCATCCATACCTGAGTTCCTTTGAGACCAGAAGGTCCAGGAGGCCCTCTGTTTCCAAGGAGTCCCTAAAAAAGCAATGTAAGTGCACATGATGAAAAATATAAGTCAATTCACATTTTGTTCAATTATCCCTAATCTGGAAATGGTACTATTGGTACTATTCAGTTCCCATATCAAAGTTTCCAAAACGAGGTAGGAAAGTAGACAAGCAAAAACTGTAAGCCATAGAAAGAGCTGAGAAAGAGGGAAAACTTATTTTTAAGTAGTATGTTAATATACAAATAATTTGCACAGTAAGTTATTCTGAGACAACGTTTCAGAAAAAAAATTCAAAATTTAAAGTAATGGGTCTAATTTTCAATCTGATATTAGTTCAATAATTATATAATGGATTGTCTACAAGTATGAAAACAGATGGGGAGGTTATGTATCTGTTAAGAGGCCATGAGAATCTGGAACTCATTTCTTAGCAGCTAACAGTTTATCATATTATTTCCCTTATTGATACAAGCTATTAAAAAGAGAAAGCAATTTGCAGAAGGTGACAGTTTAAATGTGACATGGATTTTAAGACTATAAACAAATATTTGGCTAAACAGAACACATGTTAAAAATCAACCACTCCCCAAATGAAACCTGTTCAAAACAACCCTTAAGATCTTTCTAACTCAGAAAACACCACACACCATCTTACGCGACATGGAAACATTTTCTTACTCAGTTCTGATTTGCTGACTATGCAATGTTTCAGCAAATTTTTAAGAAAATGTATTTTAAGAACTACATTTTGGGGACTACGATGTGATGCAGATTATGCCACTGCTTTCAATGCAGCATCCCATATTGCAGTGTTGGTTCAAGAACCACCTGCTCTGCTTGCAGTCCAGCTCCCTGGTGATGTCCTTGAGAAGGCAGCAGACAATGGCCCAAGTAGTTGGGCCTCTGCCACCCATGTTGGAGACCAGGATGGATCTCAGCTCTGGGCTTGGCTTGGCCAAGACGTGGTTGTTTTGGCCATTTGGAGAGTGAAACAACACATGGACCATTGAACTCTCTCTATCTCTCTCCCTCCCTTCCTCCCTCCCTCCCCCCTGCCCCTTCTCCCTCACACTTTTTTTTTTTTTTTTTTTTTTTTTTTTTTTTGACAGGCAGAGTTACACAGTGAGAGAGAAAAACAGAGAGAAAGGTCTTCCTTCCTTTGGCTCACCCTCCAAATGGCCACCAAGGCCAGCACACTGCACTGATCCAAAGCCAGGAACCATGTGCTTCCTCCTGGTCTCCAACGCAGGTGCAGGGCCCAAGCACTTGGGCCATCCTCCACCTCTCTCCCGGGCCACAGCAGAGAGCTGGACTGGAAGAGGAGCAACTGGGACAGAACTGGTGCCCCAACTGGGACTAGCACCTGGAGTGCTGGCGCTGCAGGTGGAGGATTAGCCAGGCGCCAGCCCTCTCGCTCTCTTTCTACCTCTCTGTCACTTTGCCTTTCAAATAAGTAAATAAATAAATCTGTAAAAAAATTAAATTTTGAATTATTGCTTTTAATGATTCTATAACAACGTAAGATTTTTAATCTAAATTTCAACTATATTAAAAGAATTCAACTACTCAAGTTACTTTAGAAGCATTTTTTTGAGAGTTAGAGACAGAGAGAGAGCTTCTATCTGCTGATTCACTCCCCAGATGCTTCAATGACCAGGACTTGGTAGAAACCCAATTACTTGAGCAATGGTCAGCGCCTCCTAGGGTTTGCATTAGCAGATGGCTGGAACCCAGAGCAGAGGCAGGACTTGACTGTAGACACTCTAATGTAGGTTTCTTAGAGGTATGGAAGACCATGAAATTTTATTTTTACCACATGTTAGCTAATCTTATTCAATTAATTTACTTGCTCATCTTTTCATCTAATATTTTACTTATTTTCAACTCAGTGTGAGGCCCAATGAACAGAAGATAAGGCCCTCAACATACAATATAAATAAGACATAGTTCCTGTTCTCAATGGATTTATAATTTATATGGGATTAAAATTTAAAATAATTAAAAAACAATTAAATAAGAGTTGTGATAGAAGATCAGTATATGTAGCGTACAGGGAATTTAAAAGAAGGAGAATAATATTTCCTGGAGGATCAGGTAATTTATGTGAAAGTAATATTGTATTAACTTATGACAGGCTAATAAAAATTGTTGATAAAAATTACCAAGGCCAAATTATAATCTTAAATAAATTCTAAAGGTTAGATTAAGTAAAAATATGTAGTCATATGCTGTTTACAAGAGACACCTAAAACATAAAAGTATAGGAATATTGAAAGACCCCCCCTCCCCCAAGTTGAAAAAGATATGTAAGGCATTTACTAACACAAAATAGCTGAAGGAATCACATTCATATTAGACTTAGTATACTTTAAGGTAAAGCAGATTATTAGCATTGAATCACTTTTAAATGTCTTTAAAAAGATAAATTCACCAGGAAAAGTTAAAAACTCCCAATTTTATGCCTCTAGTAAGATAAATTTAAAAACAAAATATAAAATTGATAGGTTAAGATAATTTGAAAAATGTACTATTAGAAAGGGAAATTTTGATATATCTCTCTCAGTAATAAATAGGTCAAACAGATTAAAATCCTAACAGAAAAGTCTTAATCATAATTAACACATTAGATATAATGGACATATACAGAAGACTGAATCTCCAAATGAGAGTTTACACACTCTTTAAAAGCCTATGTGGAATATTAGTGAAAACTAACCATAAGAAACTCCATACATGTCTATTACTAGTTAAAAGTTATATTTATTTTAACTACCAATTAAAAATTGTAATATATGTAGTTGGTTATTATACTATAAAGATGGAAAATGAGCAATCTATAATCATATGCATCAAAGTGAGAAGACTGAGGGGAAGAATAAAGTTATAAAAGAATATATGCATATATTATTATTGTATTCATAAGAATATCCTACAGGAACACACATAAAAAGCATGGCAAAAAGAGAAGAGTCATTACTTCTAAATGCAGGAGCAAAGAAGTAGACTTTAAATGGAGGAAACAGAATTGGGCTTCCAACATTTTACTTAAACCTTAATGATGTTTGTTCTTGTCATTATTGTTAGTGGGCAAATGTATTTCATATTTATTTATTATATTTCATATTTAATGCAAAAATTTTCATGATTAAAAAGTGCAAAACTAGAACTTGAGTCTGTATTTGAGACTATTTAGGAAATTCTTTCATTATTTTAATGTAAATGAATTAAACTCTGTAATCAGAGAGACAGTGATTGAAGGGAATAAAAAATAACTTCCAAATAAACTATGTCTATAAGGGGCTCATTTTAGATTTAAAGATACATAACAGTTACCAAGCTAAAGGGAAAAATAGACAGCAATACAATAAAACTTAGAGATTTCAACACCTCGGCTTTCAACAAAGGGTAGAACATCCAGACAGAAGATCAATAAGGAAACAGAGCACTTGAACAACACTATAGTGGACTCCTATATCCGTGGGATCCGCATTTGGGGTTCTATGCCCAATCCAACCAATCACAAATTGAAATAGAAAAAAATTGTACTGAACATGTATAGACTTTTTCTTTGCATTATTCCATTATAATGTATTTGATCCATCTATGGATCTTGGTAGCAAGGGTGTCCTGAAACCATTCCCCACCCCGCACCCCCAGATACTTAGTGAGGACTGTACTGTCCAAATGGACCTAAGAAACAAATACAGAGTATTCTACCCAAAAGCAACAGAAAATAAATTCTTTTAAAACACACATAGAATACTCTCCACAATGGATCACATGTAAGATCACGAAACAAGTCTGAGCAAATTTAAGAAGACTGAAATAAAAACAAGTATGTTTTCCAGCTACAATAGAATAAAACTAGAAATTAACAGCAGAAGGAAAACTGGCTTGTACTAGTCACTTTTATTCAAAATAGTACTAAAGTTCTAGATGGAACAACCAGGCAAGAAGAAGAAATAAAAGGGATCTAAATTGTAAAGGAAGAAGTAAAATTACTATTATGTTTGCAGATGACACAATCTTCTATGTAGAAAACCTTAAAAATCCAAGAAAAAAAAAAAACAAATAATAGACAGTGGCCAGCATTGTGGGGCAGCAGATTAAACACTGCCTGGATGACAGCATTCCATATGGGCACCAGTTTGAGTTCCCTCTATTGCACTTCGAATCCAGTTCCCTGTTAATGTTCCTGGGAAAGCAGTGAGGATGGCTTGGGCCCTACCACCCATGTGGGAAATCCAAATGGAGATTCAGGTTCCTGGCTTCTGCCTGGCCCAGACATGGCCATTGAGGCCATTTGGGGAGTGAACCAGCAGATGGTAGGTTGGTTGGTGTCTCTCTCTCTCTCTCTCCCTCCCTCCCTCTCTCTCTTTTTCTCTCTCTCTCTCTCTCTAATTCTGTCTTTCAAAGAAGTAAATCAGTAAAGGAATAAACAAAGCATTCAAAGTTGCAACATTTAAAATCAATACACATTTTTATACACTAACAATAAGCAATCTGAAACAGAAACTAAGAAAACAATCCCATTTATAATAGCAATGAAGACTAAAATAGTTAGGATTCAACTTAACCCATACGGTGATAGACTTGTAGAAATTTAAGAAGATATAAATAAAAAGAGACATCCTATGTTCATGGATCGGAAGACTTAATAAATTAAAATATCCAGTCATGAGTTTCCAAGGCTATGGAAGCCCTCTGAGTTCTCCGACTCTTATCTTGTTTAGACAAGGTCATAGTCAAAGTGGAGGTTCTCTCCTCCCTTCAGAGAAAGGTACCTCCTTCTTTGATGACCTGTTCTTAAAGAAAGGTCTTCCTTCTGCCATTGGCTCACCCTCCAGCCTGGTCTCCCATGGGGTGCAGGGCCCAAGTACTTGGGTCATCCTCCACTGCACTCCCTGACCACAGCAGAGAGCTGGCCTGGAAGAGGGGCAACCGGGACAGAATCCAGCGCCCTCACTGGGACTAGAACCCGGTGTGCCGGCAATGCAAGGCGGAGGATTAGCCTAGATGCCATAGA